ATGCTCCCTGATGAAACAGCTCCCATTTAGTGTTTCAATTGGGAAGAAGCATGTTACAATTCCTCTTTTGCTGTTTTCTAGTTTGTTAGTTTTCCTCAATCTAGAAAAAAAGTAAATCAGTCAGAATAAAAAAGAGGTTTGCTCTATATGTATAGAAACAAAACCATGACAAGAGAGATTGATGTCTCTATTAAAGAAATAAGTGAGGGAAATCATATCTTAGTTCTTCTAAGGCTGTGCTTGCTTTCTCATTCTAAATGCTTCACAGTACAATTTTGAGTTTGAACAAAAAAAAACAAGGAAAAAGAGAGTTAACCCATTCATCTGGAAGTCAAATTTTAAAACCATAAGCAACCAAATAATAATTTAGCTTTCAGGATAAAAATGAAAATATTAAAGTATTCATGTCAACACCCAGATTCCAAACAGACTATAGTTTCAATAATCAGAACCTTTCCACATGATTACCTGGCAACCTCTTTTCAACAGCTGAGGCATTGTAAAGGGTAAAAAAGACTTGTGGAGTTTGTTTTGTTGTTTGGGCTTTTTTTTTCAGTGAAGAAGATCAACAAACCATTATCTTAAGCAATTGCCACACATAAAGTTGTATCATCTGTCATAATGAACAACAAGGGAAGATTCTGAGTATCAACATTTTTTTAAAACCACTGATAAATACATAAGGAAACATCAGTGGTGCGGTTTAGAAGGTTGATTAGAGATATTCTTCCTCTTTTTCCCTGTGTTTCAGTTTTACAATAGTGACTCGAGTGAAATCATTGAATTACATTCACTTGCAGAAATATGGAAAAAAATTCTCCAGTGAAACTCTTTTAACATTTGCCTTTTACCACTTAAACTGCTTTTAAGCAAAAGACTTTAACAGATTCTGAATCAGAAATGACTCTATCAAAAGAATCTGCAAAGACATAAAAAAAAGAAGGAGAAAAAGAAAAAGACTCTGAACAGAAAATCTTGTTATAATTTTCTAAATTAAAACAGGACTGAGGATGAGTCATAAGAAGGGAAGCAAAAATAATCTGAAAGTAAGCGTTCATTCATTACTGTCAGTGTAGTACCTCTACCCTCTCGTATGCAGGAGCCTCAGAGACTGAAGGTCAATGCAAGTGAGCAAAGCTGCAGTGCACTCACGGTGTACAACTGAAGAAATAAGTAAAACTATTGGTCTGATGAGACTGCTTTGCTGAGCCCACATGGTTTGGATATGTTTATGTACAGTCATGATGTCTTTAGAACTTATTCGGAACTTAAGCACTAATGCTGATAAGGTCAGGCAAACAGACAATGTTCAATCATTTCTTAGTATTCTGAGTTTATGAATGAATAGTTATAGGGCATGTGAAGTGATATTGACTCATATCCCTTAGAAAGCTTACGTGGGTACTGTGTGTTCATGCAAGTGTCTCTCAATTTTTGCTTTGTTCATGAGTCAGCTAGGGTATAGCCATAAAAACCAGGTTTCCTTTCTATATTCAAGGACTCCAGTCAAAATTGCTTTGGGGATTGTAGTGCTTTATGGCTGGGGAATGTTGTTTCCAAACTAAATTTAAAATACTGTGGCCTTGTGGTTTTTGCCTTCTTGGGTAATCCTATGACTACTTATTAAAAGTTTCTGGAAAAATCAAAACATAAGGGGCAGGACAGTAGATGAACTTTTAAGGGACCTATGTCTATTTTAGTCTTCATGGCTTGGTATTTGCAGGAAGTTCTTCGCTGCCCATCTCCCAATATCTGTCTTGTGCCTTTCCATGTAAATAAGTATCCTTCATTCTATATAGGAGTGTTGTTCTCTTGTGTTATTTACTATTATATAAACATGTTTTGGAGTACAGGTGAATAATATCAATAGAGAAAATAAATGATTCCTGCTCAATAATATAAATGTGAAGTATGTATACATCACACACAGTATTTAAGTTTTGCAAAAACAAAACTTGCTGCTTACAACCAGTAAAGGATTAAAAGTAATATTTACTAGCCTTCAGAAAAAAAAAACAACAACAACAACAAAACTTCTAAATCATTTTTCCAGGCAAAGTATGCAAGAAAATTTTCTGAGGGAGTAAATCAAGCTTCCAGTTTCTTTATGAGTCATACCCAATGGCAGTAATTTTTAAAAACAAACAACTGTGAATCTGCAATAAGACAGAGTAATCTGTAAACCATTTTATTATCAAAGAAGACAAATGTAGATAAGCAGGCATTGTAGTTATTGTGTCTCCAAAGGCTTTTCCCTTGTTCTTATTAACATTAAAAATTCTTATACTGGTCTAAAATTGGTATTCCATGGCAAGTGCCCATATGACCAAACTGAAGCTGATCTGAACCATACAAAGTTTTTTGCATTCTCCACATGTACGTAATACAAAATGTCACCAACCATATATTCTCAATCTCTCCTACTATTGTAGTGATTCTAAAAGTCCATAAAACCATGCAAGAAATGCTGTAATTAAATGACTGTTCTTCACTGACAATAAACCCAGGGTTTTCAACTTAATTAATTTTCTTTTTTTTTAATTCTTTTTTTCTCTTTTTTCACAAATGAGTCACAAATTGTGGAATATCAAGCACATGTATAAACTAAAACTCAGTTGGCATTCAGTGTGTATTTCATTTGGAAACAATTAATTGTAAATAAAATCTGGTCACAATAATTGTTGGACGTCGTTATACTGAAGAGTGTTTTGGAAGAAAACTCACCCACCCCAAAAAACATGTTTCTGTCTTCATTAATTATGTCAATGTCTGAGAATACACTACAAACTCGATACCCTGTTCTCTCCTTTACTATCAATACCCATCAAGTCAGAGAAGTTATTTTACTATGCAAAAAATCACTGTCTCATGAAGCAGGGTTAGGGCCACACAGGATTAACTGAAGCTGCTGAATGCCAATAAAGCTTAGAAACACTACAGACAGGTGAAAGCGTATAAATATTTTCACAATTAGGTTTACGTTCTACATCTTAATTGTACCACTCAAAAATCCACTTCTGCACAATGGGTTTGGAATGTTGCAGATGGGAATCACTTCTTAATGTCTATGACTATGGTGTGACTGTAAGCATTCATTTAAGGAGTATGTCCTCCTATCCCTGTATAAGTCTCTATCTTTTTATCTATTTTACTATCTATCTCATCATATAAATGATAATCACAAGGCTTCCCACTGCACTCACTATTAATAGAACACTTGACAGTGTCTGAAAAAAATCAAATTTCAAATGGACTTGAAACCTTAACTAACCTGCCAAGACTTTAGAAAAAGCGTGTAGCTCAAAAGTGGAGGACGTGGAAACTGCACTAGATTGCAGAACTTGGTATCACTTTCCAGTTGTGCCCTGGCAAAACCTCAAGGCAAGACTAAAGTGACTACAACCACGGCCTTTCATCCTTGTGCATGGAAAGAAAATAAAGGGGGGGGGCAATCCAGATCTAGCAGCAAACATGACAGATGACTGATGGACCTATGTTTCAGCAAATATACAGAGATACAATGCAAGAATGATAAATAGCCTGTAGTTAAGCAGAAGAACAGTTCTCCTTGGCAACCTCCTTTTTCATGATTGCAGAATAGCTGTTGAAGTCCAAGACAATTACAAAATCAACTCATAAAACCAAATTTGGATCAAGTATTTTGTTTATATATTAAAATTGGAAACAAACAAACAAAAAGAGCTAACTTTCTTGGACTTGAAAACATTGGTACTGTCTTCTCGCCAGCTTCTGAACTGTCAAATTAACAGAAAGAGCAAAGTCCTGTTTTTGGACAGATTCTTCTCTATTGAGCAACTGTGAACCAAACCATTATGTCAGGTCCCAGTCATGTCATTTTTGAAGCAAATACTAACCTCCACAGTGTCCATGAGAAAAGGTAAGTTGCTAAAAAAAAAAAAGTCAGAGTATAAGCCCTTAAATTAGGCACTTCAACACAGTTTTTATCATACCATTCTAGCTTGATTTTCATTTTAATACTTTAGTCTTATTACCCAAATCATTCACAGAAGCATATATATTTGAGGAGTCTTGGGATCCTACCACTGCGTGTTGATCTCTGTCTTCCACAATTGTAACTGAAAAGGTAGAAGGTAGAACACCTCTGTGACCTTGTTTGCCAAAACGTAGATTTGTAATTTCCCATCTAGAGGATACCTCCAGAAGCTCCCAGTATCAAGGACAGAACAGAAATTGAGAAATTATTCCATCTTCTCAGTTCTGAATGCCTGCAGCTTCCAAGCAGGGACCACAGAGATCCTAAAGCAGTCTCCTTCTTACAGGCCTCAGCTGTTTTTCTTACTCTCACAGCAGTCACAGAAAACTTGCTTGGACATCTTAGTGAGAGATCAGTCAGACCTCTCTATGCATCAGGAAGTTTCCTCATGCCCAGCATTCTGTAGTTTGTACTAGAGAAGCTATCATGTTGTGATACAAAACTATGAAGATATTTTTGAAGGAAAAAATTGCTTCTACCCAAAGTCCAGCGTGGATGGAATTTCTCTCAGCAACATATCTTCAATGTGAGAGCCTCCTGGGTCTGAGATCTCAAGTTTGAATTCAATATCTTGCATCAAAAATGCCTGACTCTTTTTACTGACTGAAAAGTACAGGACACTAATGATCTTTCCTCAGACACCTTCTGACAATTAATAAAATAGGCTCCTAATTAAGACACCCATAAACAATGCTAAAACCTACCATATTACAGTTTAAAATATATTTCACACACAATTTATATATAGTATGTTTGCTGTCTGCCTAGTATTTATTCAAAACCCTTTCTCACTGCAGCTGGGAATGCTGTTTCTAACCACCAAAGGCAAGTGCAAAACACTGGGGATGTAGAACAATTGGCATTGTTAAAGGTAACAGGGAGAGCTTTCATCCAAAACATACTACGTATCCCACAGATGCTGGTTATCTCCCAGTGCTGGAACTGATAAATGATGTACAACACGAGTGAATGCTGAGGCACAGCTGCACAGAGAAAAGGGAATCTAAGAGGAATTCCTTGACAGCAAGAAACAACTCATTTTATGAAGAGAGCAGGTATGGCATTTATTTTTCCTTTGCACATCTGTCTTCCTATTTTCTAAAATGGGGGACTTGTTTTTGACTCTCTCAGGGTGCTCTGTTTCAAGACAGAGTCTTGGTCATGACAACACAAACCCCTTGTTTCTTTGTGGCCAGGGTGGATTTACATAGGTATAGATGGTGATCAAGAGCATGTAAAGCTGGTCTTGTAAAGGTGTTCCACTCTTTGAGAAAGCAGTGTGCACATTCAAAAGGGGTTCTGTGATTCAACATACCTTCCTGATATCCCATCATCCTAGTTTTCCTTTTTTCACTTTATCTGCTCATGTATTTTTCTCAGTTTCAAAGTGTCTGCGTTGTCCTAAAGAGCATCTTTGTTGTTTTGAAAGGCAGTATAGGTTTTCCAGACTGCTGATTTTGGCTGAGGTGGAGTTAATTTTCTTCACGTTTGCTAGTATGGGGCTATGTTTTGGATTCGTGCTGAACAGAGAGTTAATAATATAGAGATGTTTTTGTTATTGCTGCACAGGGCTTACACAGAGCCAAGGCCTTTTCTGCTTTTTGCCACACTGGCAAGGAAGTTCGTGGTGCAAGGGAGGTTGGGAGGAGATGCAGCCAGGACAGCTGAACCTAACTGACCCAAGGGATATTCTACACCATATGAAATTATGCTTAATATATAAAGTGGGGGGAAGAAAGAGTAAAGGGGGACACATTTGGAGTGTAGCTGCTCACAGGAAGCAATGAATTAATTCCTTGTTTTACTTTGCTTGTATGTGTGGCTTTTGCTTTCCCTATTAAATCGTCTTTGTCTCAACATGCAAGTTTTCAAGCTTTTACTCTTTCAGTTCACTCCCCAATCCCACTGGTGGAGGAATGAGCAAGTGATGCGTGGGGCTCGGTTGCTGGCTGGGGTTAAACCATGACACCAGACTAACCTACCTCATATATTGAACTGTGTAAAGAACATTTGCAACTAATTGAAAACACGTATACAATTCACAGATGAATGCCTCAGTCATTATCTTTCAATTATGAATCTTGGCTCGCTCTATTCTTCAATATCTGGTTTTGAAACCACCTTCAAATCCTGACCTGTAAGCTCAGCAGCTTGTGTAAGATCTGGAAGATAAAGAACACTTTTGGCTCTGCATTATGTCAGATCCTATTTATGGGGAAACATAAAAATTATAGTCTAAAGTGACTACAGTGAGGCACCTATTTAATAGAATAGGTATAATTTTATCAGAAAAACCAGAGTTTGAAAGCAGAAATCAAAGAATTTGCAATATATTATTCCATGCTCTGATCTAGTTCCAGCAATAATAGGAGAATCTTTAAAAGAAATCATAGTCCTTTATCCACTTTTCTCTTAGGTTCTGAACCACTGACGGAGTCAGAGTGACTCACTGACACTGATCCTGGAGTCACTGAGGATGTTTTAAACTCATCACAGTGTAGATGACAGTAGATACATTTTAAGTGGTATCATCCAGCAACCATGAGAACATGAAGACTTGAATACCTTCAAAAATTGTTTGTTTTAGCAGTCTTACTGCTGATGTTAAAGGGTTGTTTTGTTTGGGGTTTTTTAAGTGTTTCTCTTTAGGCAATTGCTAATAGATATGTGTGAATGTTCTAATGAAAAAATTTTTTATTTATTTTTTTTAAGTTTTGTTGAAAGCAATATGAATAGGTGGAGAAATCTAACTATTCACAAATTGTTTTGTTTTACACAGGAAGGAAAAATACTTTTATATCATAAAAGTGTTATTCTTTAACAATTTTAAGTTTTATTTACTTACTTGTTCAAGTTTTAGTTATTTGATTGAAGTGACCTATTACCATTACCCCTCCTACCCTGGATGCAATAAGGGTCATGTTTGAACTGTAAAAGACTGGAGTGAAAACTCTTTTACCTAGGAAAACGATCATGAAGGGACCTGGGAAGAGTAATCAGTATCTATGTCTGCTCTTTCTCTTACAGTGGAGTCACGTTTTTATCCTTACATCCCAAAGAGGATAGAGCTTTGAAGATTTTTTTTTTTTGCGTCTGGGATGCATCTTACTCTTTCCTTCCACAGTGGTGGTACAAAGTCCACCTCACCACAGTATTTATGTTGATGATACAGTAAAGAAAATCAAACAATGAGTGAAAGCTTTATGGCCAGTGTGAAGGATGAAATATTTCCAGGCAGACAGAATGGGATAGGGAAGGTTGTTTGCATGTTTTCCTGTGGACTATGACATGAAATTACAAATATAACAGAATAAGCAACAAAATTTTATGTTTCACTGTTGTTTTCCGTAGTCTGACCCCAGAATTATCCCTCCTGTGGAAGAAAACTGAGTTGCATTTTCCTTTGCAAAACTGCTTTTCTTCATGCTGCCTGCCTGGCTGTGCTTAGTCTTCAGTTGGATAACTCAATTTACTTGCTTATGAGATACATACTAGCCACAAATATTCATTCTCTGTGCCTCTTCAAGAATGTAAAGAAATACACACATTCCCCTTTATCAATTTGTTAAAGAACAGGATGGTTCAGTCACCCCACTGTAAGCTTATTTGTCTAGAAACTTTAGTATATCGCAGTACACAGAAAATGTAGAACTGATACTACAAGTGCATTTATGAAAAACACATTTGGTAAGAGTGCCCACAGTGAATAGGATATAATCCCACTCTTCCTACGGAAGCCAAATACATCCATCAGCAGAGTTCAGTCTAATGCCAGTGTACACAAATTGAATCCTTTGTCTATTTCCCTAGAAATAGACTGATGTAAGTCACCAAAAGAAATAGAAGTCATTGCCTTTTCAGTCTGTCAGATCAACGATCCATGAATGAGGAAGCATTCATGCCAAGAATTAGAATAGATTGGAGATCTGTTTCTTTTGTCTTCAGTGTACTTGAAAAATAGAGCCCATTATGGAGATTTGTGTATGCATTGGATTTCTTGTTATATTTTGGTTTTTTTCTGGTATAAATCCTTTTTTTCTCAAGACTTTCTTGTATGCAAGCACAGAATTAATATAGCAGTGCGGTTATAAAGGAGATATTGAAGTATGTCAAATGTACACAATATTTTAAATATGAAGTGCATTTTACCAGCTTTATAGGTGCAGTTTTATGTACAATTATTTCAATGATTTACTACAAATCAGATCTTATACTTGCACAACACATACATTTGAGTGTAACTGAGGTTAACCAAGTAAGATGAGAGACGAGGAAAACTCTCAGGTAAGATAAGACTGTCTTTTAATAAGTTCAACCATGATTGCTTTTCTGCTGTGACGTAACAGATCCAGGACATGTAAGATTACTTCTGAATAGCAAGAACTCTCAGTTAAACAAAAAAATTGAATACTCAGTATAGACAAGATGATAATGAATAAAGCAATTTGGAATGAAAACTGTTGCTCTTTGGTTTTTCCAGTTTTACCAGACTACTGACTGTAATCTTTCTTAGATTTTGGTTTTCAAAGGTACTCTTGGATTGTGTTGTCTCTATTACATTGGATAGACAAATTTTCTCATTGTGATTCAGTTTGTTACATGCCATTTACCAAATCCAGGGAAAACTGTAGTCTTGAGGATACTTACATATGACTGTTTCAGTAAGGAAAAGGGATTCCTTATATGCTCGTGTCCTCTCCTTTTAAGAATAATTTATGAAATGAATAGCCAGAAGTAGTGACAGTTGAAGTTCAAACATTCATGATTAATAAAGTTGTTGAAAATTCAACAATAATTTCCTGTGAATATAGAAAGGCTACTTTGTTCTTTTTGTGTTTAAGGCTTTGAAAACTGTACTGGTTCTTTTAAAAACACCAAGGAATCATAGACTATCCAGTTGAAGTCAAGGAGTATCGTAGAAAGAGGAAAAAGTGGAGGAAAAAATTTGAAATGTAAGATTGATAGTCAATACAGTTTTATGTGTGTGATCTTTATGGCAAAAAGCATTAAGCCACAGTAAAACAATGTTGATGACATGGCTTGGCTGCTGTAGGACATTTATTATCTGATTCCCAAGAATGCCATGGTAGACTCACTGGGACGTTAAATTTAATTACTCCTGTTTCAGATAAAATCGAGAGAAAAAAGTGGGTAGGAAATAATAAAAGTGTCTTCGAAGACCACAGATGCTATAAACAATTGTGAAGCTGATGTTAACCTTCAAACTATACAATGCATTGTAAACTGATCAAGTTGTTTCTTTTTTTAATACTAAAGATAACAAATATTATTTCATATGTGGGTGTGTATAAACATACAGTACAGAACAATAAAATATGCTTTATGAATTTGAGCTGCTGACCTTAAGTAGAGGTTAATAAAGTTGACTGATAACTGCAAATGGAAAATATGGTCAGATCAAAGGTACAAATACAGTGCTTAAGTTTCTATACAACTTCCAAAATTATGGATTAATTCCAAAGCATAGAAAATATTTTTCATATACCTTTTCTGGAAATAGGTTTTAGAACAAAATAACACATCAGTCTTTAGTAATTATGATTTGATTTTTATAAGTGTATGAAGAATAAAGTGTATGAAAAATGGAATTTAGACATCACTTCTGTGATGTAAAAAAAGCAAAAATCAATATAATTCTACTTTAAATTTTTTTATGTTCCTTATAGTCGCTATTTATTCCACTTTAATATCTTTGATCTTAATTCTTGAAGAAAATCCAAAACTGTAGTGAATTTAGAAATCAGACCTTCATACTAATCCCTAATTGGCTCATTGAAGTGATTTCAAACTTCTGTCTCCATGTCAGATTCATGCATTTCAGTGTTATTGGTAATGAGATATCTATAAGAATCTCTCTGTTGGTAGGCATTGGTTACATAAAAATTAATTTAATTTCACTAATATGAAGAGAGCACTGCATCACTGAGCCATAGACTCTCCAAAAGTGAATGTTTTTATCAGAAATCTATAACATTTCTTACAGATGCTCATACGTGTATGTTTAGTATCCAAAAAAAAAAAAAAAGGAAGAAAA